GATAAACCACAAATGGCCAGCAATCTTCTGTTTACAAAGGAAAGTTCAACTCTTGGACAATGAACTTTTAGAAGTTCAAAAGGTCAAGGTTAAGGAGCAAGTAAGTGAGAAACTTATGAGCCATTATCAAATCAAAATCGCTTTAATATCTATCAATAAAAAGTTGTACATTAAAAAAATTGCTACAGAAATTAATCTTCACTGTTCATTACATCTTGAATTAACTTGGGAAAAAACAAAAACTAAATCACTATCACTTTGCCAATACAGAGAATATTTTGTGGGTTTTCCTGGCAACACTTAGCACATGGTTGTTATAACTTACAATAACTTCTGACATTCTATGAATAGTTTTGATTGTAAATTACTCATAAAGTCAGATTCATTCACTGTATGATTCTTCTGCTGTCATCAGCTTCAGATATGGAGTCCATCAAGATGATCAAACTCAGAGACAGAAAATCTAGACACGTTCTACTCAAAAGTCATGATTACGTTTGCATTTTTTTTTTTTTCTCCTCAAATATTGGTCAATTTTTACAGACGAGCGATGTCTCGATACAGAATTATAGTACGATGATAAAAACTCTAACACTGGAGCAATAATTTTGAAGTGGCTTTCTCACAAGTTAATAAACCATAAATTTTTGAATAAGCGCTGCTTTCGAATAAGAAAGCACTACACAATGTATGATTTTTTTTTCTGTTATTAATTGCTATTTACATTGCCCATCCATGATTCTGAAGTGCAGGTGCACCTCACGTAAGGTGGTGATCTCATCGATTTTTGCTTTTTTCGGTCATTCCCTACCGTTTTGTATTCACATAACAAATGATATGTATTGTAGTGCTGGTTATTCTATAAACGATGAATAAACTTGAACTTTCAAATAAATACAGTTGGCATTAAATTTTCAATCTATTTCAGATAATTGTCGGAGCATTTAATCAAAAGTAACTTAACCCAACATTATTAGATATTAAAAATATGATTTCTCACAAAATGAATACTAATATGCAAGAAATCAGATAGCTTTTTGTACACGATTCGATATTATAATAACACGATTCGATATTATAATAACACTCTAATTTGTAAAAAGGGCCGCTCACTAATATGCGCCACACCCCCCCCCCTCACCCCTTGAATAACCGCCGCACAACTACTTCTAACAATTTTGTAATGTTGTAACCCTTATTTGATCCTTACAATTAACAACTGCTCTGCAACAATTTTGAAGGTGATCAGAGATAAACACCTTTTCATCTCATTAATACATACTTTAAATATTTAACAAAAAAAAAAAAAACACTGATAGCCAATCCAAACACTGTAATCAAAATCGAGTTACATTAAAAATTTGTTGTTGCATACTCAAGAATTGTACTTGAGAGATAGGACTGGTCTGTCCTACCTGTATTAACATACTACTTTTACTATAACCAAACCTTGTGTGAAGGTACTTGATAGCTAAGCTATATCTACTTATTATTATCACACAATAAGACTTTGAACCTGTCATATTTTCATTCGGTTTCCTATATATGAACACAAACAATGACCGGTAGAACCTTCCTGATTAGTTTAACATCAGTGAAGTGCCTCTGAAAACATACCGTGAGATAGTATTAAGAAAAGCTAGGGCCCTATAAAAAAAATTATTAGTTTATCAACCTATGTAGACTGGAAAAGTAATGAGGGAGGAAAGTTTTTTACCAAATATCAGCCTTGGATTGTTTTCTGGTGCATTGATATTCAAAGTAAAATACATAATTGAGATACAAGCAATATCTACTATTTGCTAATGTAAAATGTGGAAAAAAAATTTTGTTTTTCCAATACCATATAGTAGAAGACATGCGGGCGAGGGTGATATTTTATTGGGCCTAATAAATAATTACACTGTGCCATCTTGCATTGAATTCATGCAAAATGTGAACATTCTGCGGTACACTCTCGATATGTTTAAATTATCTGTGCCTCAATATAGTAATTTATTAAATGCAAGGTAATTTTTTTTCATATAATTATATTACATATTGTCAATTATATTTAATAAACCAAAAAATATACCCTACTTAATACTTATTCTATATTTTAAAAATGTTTAGCCGATCAGTAAAAAACACATTAGTCTTCATATACCAATTTCTACCCAAAAATGTAAGGATTTACGTAGTAAAACATCTGATATTTTTTCGATCAGTAACTTACTGAAAGTTAACAAACTACTAAGTTATTTATATTTTGAAAATTTTTTTATTCAATTTTTTTTATGTGGCATATTAAATCCATCCAATCACCATCCAGCCTCTCTACCCAAACATATAAGTATTTCTCTGTTTGGAGTTTCTGCAGATATTATTCTCCTGAAGACGACTAACACATCAAAACGTCTAGACTTTCTCAACTACAACAGTTCTTTTCAGAACTACCTACGTGGTGTACCGCAAGCTTCAACATACAATAAATTTGTTTTGTTTGTCTTATGGGCATCTCTGATATATATTTTAGTTGGTACTTTATATATCAAATTGTTTAAAACAAAAACAAAAACAGATATTAATGTACTGAAAAATTGAAATGTTTGATGTACATTGTACATTTGCCTTTGTTCCACTATAATAAGTGGTGCAGAGGCAGTTTGGCACAGCGGGAACGGTTTGATTTCCCAACCTCAAGTTCGGGGTTTCAATCCCTCGCTGTGCATTTCGCTTGTGTCCTTGAGCAGGCAAGGCACTTTATCTGCATTGCCTCTCTCTACCCAGGATTAAAAATTGGTAACTGCGGTTGCCTTCTCCTGCGCTGATTACCAGCAGCAACACATAAAGCATGTGGACCCAATGACCAGGGAAAAGGACTGCGCTTTATAACCTCAAGGAAGAGGCACATTATAAATGCCCATACCAGAACCAGTACTTTAAACTAGTTCTACACTACTGTATGTTAAGTTTAATCCACACTAACAACTTCAAATTTATGTGACAAGTGTATGTGATGTGCACATAATGGGTACAGTATATGATGATGTCATATTACACCCAAATATAGGCATATCCATATCTTTCATAATCGAAGCAGGACTTTAGAAATTTCAAAGAATCAGTTTTATATCATTCCAATGTGCTTTCTAATTGGCTTGCTGTGCCCAACTGTTATACCCAAATATGGGCATATCACATTTTTTGTGACATAATATTTGATAGTGTAAAACAGGACTTTAGAAATTTCAAATAATCAGTTTGCAGGGTGTAGTGCCATGTAGCTTTTACAATGTGCTTTCCAATTGGCTTGCTGTGCCCCACTGCTATACCCAAATATGGGCATATCACATTTTTTATCACATATTATTTGATCGTGTAAACAGGACTTTACAAATTTCAAAGAATCAGTTTGCAAGATATTGTATCATGTAGCGTTTCAATGTGCTTTCCAATTGGCTAGCTGTGACCAACTCTGCAGGCCAATTTTCAATAAGGAAATCCACACTCCAACAGGATTTTTATAAATCCATCCTGCTTACAACATTCAGTCACCATCCATGAAGCACTGCTATACAATATACACTACACAGTATCTGCTACACATACTGTAGGCCCATCGAAACTAGGACTTCCTCTCTTTCTTCTGATTTCTGTGATAACCTGCTACCTTATTAAATAATTGTCATGAGATCATTTATAATGACCAACTTTTACAACATACACACTTTAAATTAAAAAAAAATAAAAACAGTAAAATTTTGCCCAGTGTAAGTTTTCATATTTTGTTGCCAATTTCAGGCTCAAAATGTTCTTATTTTGTTTTGTTCCTATTTAGAGAGGTAATTATGTATTTCAGCACAAGCTTAGCTGAGTACTTTTGCATTCCCTGATGGAACTTCACATTTGATGACATTAATGAGGTAGATATAATGCTAATAATTAACATTTTTAACATTAAATGTGTGTGACTAGCTTGACTTGTTGGTTTTTCTGGCTTTTAAAAATAAAAACCTCATGTGAGCCTCAACTTGTTCTCATTTTGTTCTTATTTTTAAAGCAATTTCAGACTTGGTTTTCTTATGAGAAAAAAATGTATTAGTTTGTAACTGTACAATTGTAACTATATTAATCAATGGTGAACATATAGTGCTGATAGAAACAATGTATAAAATAGGAGGCTTTTGAATAAATTAATGAATAACAATGATTGTGTTAACATAAAACAAAAAATCGAAGTGAATATTAAAAATACAATATAAATAATACGGTAAAATGAACCATATTCTGTTTAATGTATTTTTTAGGCATTTGTTGACCAATCCAGGTTTGGGTATTAATCAAATTCTTTTTCCTTTATTATAATATGCTACTATAATTTTTAATAGATGCGCTTAAAAAATGGAAATAGTTTGGAAACCCTTTGACAGTCTGGGATGTAGCATTATGTTTTTGCCACAAATTTGAAATGAATAAATTTTTTTTTTAAATATGATGGTAAAAACAACTTAAATACGAGAGGCCTAGCCTCTTGTCTTAGTTCAAGTGCTAATTCCTACCCCCTATTCATGTAGCATACTGTACTATAGGACTTCCCAGTGAAGTAACTCAAAACTGATTAAACAGACCAGTCAAAATCTGTATTAAATTTAAATTTGATTGATACCACCAACTGTATGTCATATTTAACTGAATAGCTGTATATTGACTGTAAGTTCAAGTATATAGGCTTTTAACACAAGAATATGTTTCTCAGCATTAAAAAGTTGAAAATATGGTATTGTATAATCCATACATATTTTATCTGGACTTCTACATTATCATTAAAGGGTCATAGACAGGTTAAATTTAAAGCGACTGTTGGAAAATTATACAGTAGTAAAGTAAAAATGTTTCTGAAAAATATATTGTACATTTACATCTATAATCTAAACCTCCTAAAAAAAATGTTGCTATCAATCTGACTCATCAATGTACAGTAAAAGATTTTAAAAGAAATATAATGTCTACCAATTTTTTCAGATTTATGATTTTATTACATAGTGGTACAGTACGACATGTTTCAAAATCTGGGTATTAGGTCATTGCACAAAATCAGGTGTTATGAAAATGTTTGGGGAGAGGGGGAGGGAGGAAACAGGCTATTTTTATTATTTTTTTGTATAGGTTTTATGTGGGAATATGATTAGTGCTGGTTGTGGTTTTAACTTTGAGGTCAAGGGTTCGAAATCCTTGCGTAGAAGTTACCCTAGCTTCTCTCCACATAGATTGATATCATCATATGCTGTGAAGTTAAATTTTCCAAAGATAAAGACAAAAAAGAAAGAGACATTCTGGCCTGTGAGCACACTATGTTTTACCTTAATTAGTTAAAGAGGCTTCTTGATAGTTTGGCTTCTTTTTGTTTGTTTTTATTTGTTTTTTCACATCTAACAATAACATGTTAACCTACTACTTATAAGATAGAATGATGCTTTAGAAACTAAATTTCTTTACATAGGACTTTAGAGTATGGAGTTTTCTTTTTAGTTGTTAGAAATAAAAAATCTGCGGTGACAGGGTTTGAACCACGATCCTAGGAGTAATAAGCATGCATCTTAACTGCCTTAAGCTCCAGTTATACACCAATTTCTATTATTATGAGAGCGGATGGAGGGGCAGCAGTTGTCGTTTGGTCACGCAAGCTTGGGGTCATGGGGTTCAAAATATTGCTTACTATACTTAAGCCTGAGTTACTCTATCCTCACTCATAAGGTACCTAGTAGGATGGGGACCATTCAGAATGAAATCCGTCTGGTTCTGAATTATCTGCATGACTAGGAATATTTCCCAGGGGTGTAGAGAACGTTGCACATGGCACATGCCTGTTTATATTCAATGCCCTAAGGAAGAGCACCCGGAACATCTATAGATACAAATTTACATAAACATAGTGCATACTACATAGTGCCTCTATAAGCTTTATACCAAATTATATTTAAAACAAAACAAAAATGTTGAATTATTAAAATTTCTAACAAGGTGTTGTGGCAAATTGTGCTACAGTTGTAGCTGAAGAAAACTAAGGGTGGTTAGTAGAAATTTTAAGGGTGGGTGGGTGATAACATTGGTAAACTCTAAATAGTAAGAGTGGATTTTAAGGACGGAAAAGTGGGTTAACAAAGGTGGGTGGAGGGCCATGATATTAGCTTTGACTGAACAGGAAACTTCCAGGCTAGGTAACCCAGCCCACCATAACTACATTCCTGTTGTAGATCTCAAGGGTTAACCCATACTTTGCATCTGCCACAGCGCAATCATGTATGAATATTAGACACTGCAACCGTGTGAAACATTTATGATTTACGAACATACAAGAGGTCCTTAGAAGCAGACCTTAGTAACAGACAGCCTTTATCTTCCAATTAGTTCTATGTACGCAGGCGACTTATTTATCTTATTCTTAATGTAGAGTTAGCAGGTATCGAAACCAGATTCAAAATTTCATTATAAATTTATTTATGAATGAGTGATAAATCTTATCTTCAATTATACTTCCTACTATACATACTGTAGGCTGTGTTCCCAAAGCCCTACTCTAGATATAATAGCATTGCATAAGAACTGATAACAGTATTAATTAATGATAATATAATCTTTACATTATTACATGATATTACTTCAATAATTTGATTTATCTCTATACTATACAGTACCGGTACATTAACAATATTATTGCATACTAATTATGTTTTCCCAGGCTGCATATTGCCTTTATGTACAATACAGTACATAATACTGTACTTTAATTTAATGACCAGAGAAGATTTCCCTTTATTAGCTACAGACACAATCTCATAGAAAAATAAATTTATGAATTATGTGCTCAAGTGGTAAAATTCATTGAATAGGCATAGAGTACACTAGCTAGGCTTCATAGCTTATATCCTATTCACACTCCACTCCATTGCAATGTACAGTAATCAGTGGTAATTCAAAACGGATTACTCCCTATTACAATCAACGAGCGCATTCAGACGAATCACACTTTTATATTAGAACGGGAGCTCAAACGGTACTGCTAGGCCTATGTTGACTAATCTCAGCCAATCCGTTGATTTGTTGTGATCGCATTCCATGGTAATCGGGAATAAAAGACTGTAGTACCAATCATAACAGGCAACAATTTGCAATATCGATTATATTGGCAAGCTTTCGACACACGATTGTGGATTGTGATTGGGTATTACAATTGTTACAACATATCGCAATGCGACGCTAGTCTGAATAGGGTACTAGTTGGTACAGAAATCATCCAAATGGTGTTACCTGTAAAAAGGGAACAAAACAATTTTCTCAGGCCACCATACAGTCATAATTATTCATAAATTATCATCACCCTTCATTATGGGTTAAAATTCAATAATCTGATTTCATACAGTACCTTGGTAATTAATTTAAAAATTCAATATTTATGTTCCCAGCATACTTTACATTTTTAGCACTTCAAGTAAAATATTCTTTAGCATAAAGGAGAAATGCACATTTAAGAAAGTATAGTACATACTCCAAGTATTGAAATACATGCCATTGTGTTGGGATTCAATATTTCAACATTAATTATGTCATCATCAGGAATGATTACCTATTAGCTTGGTTTGTATCCATTCCCTGTGGTTTTTTCACTAGCTGACACAGTATGTATCAATGGCTTGTGCCATGAATTTTAATGGTACTGTATGGTAGTAAGAACATTTAGCGTACATCCTGCATTGCAGTCTATCACAGGACTGAGTGGTAAGGTTTTTTTCATCTTTTTAATAAATATATTATGAGTAACTTTTTTAAAGTCAAAATTATTCTATTGTAAAATTAGTCTACAAATCAGCTAATCAAGGATTTTGGATGTTTTCATGTTTATATTGTAGGGAATCAGTGATGGATGAATGAAGGATGGAGTTATGGGAGTAGCTGATGAAATTCACTTTAGCATAGAATTACACTATCACTGGACTGAATGTTCAGAATGTCTACATTTTTTAAAAGGCCGAGTTGGATAAATGTAGGATGGAACGGAGACCAATGTCACTTTAACACACAGTCTATAGTAGGGGGCGGTGATAGCAGGAGGTCCGAGAGGGCAAAGGACCCTCCATTGGGGACCTGTTGCCCTGCTTGAACTCGCATGTCGGGGAATTTTCAGCAAGGTCGTCTGAGAAAAGGTGCAATTCAAGGATGCCTCTGTCAAATTTTAGAGATTAAAAACTGTTTAGTGCGAGCAGGGCTACCGTATGTGCGAAAAGTTGTATACTATTACGATCGTATGGGCTGCAGTGGTGGTGCCAACTCTTCACAAAGGATTCAGGATTTTTACACTATTAAAATGTCTAATTACAAGACCAGCTGATGAAAGCCCCTTTAACGTACAGGATTACTGTAACACGCTGTAAATGATAAATATCACGTCAAATTAGAAGAGAACTTTTCTTAATTCTCAAATCTACGCATACTGCATGATTCTTTTTCATGAATTATTATTTTGTCTTCAAATCCATTCAGTTTTTTAAATAATTGAAGATACCATCTCTGATAAATCTATAAAAAAAAATCATTAAACCAATTTAAATTTAGTTAAACATACAGGTAGTCGACCACCACAATTCAGTATTCATAATGCTTGTTGATATTTTACTAAAGATAATTTAATTGTCTGCCAGTTAATTTAATTTATAATCATCTTATAATCTATAGTCACAGTTTAAGTACATATAGTAGAGTAACCTTGTATTTTTTTCTTATTGTTTTTTATCAATGTTTGGTAGATTATTAAATGAAATCCACTCAGATTAACACTTTACAGTACTGTAACAAATTGATTAGTACAGCATTAAGTTGGTAGAAATAATTTCCACAATGCATAATTACAATTAATAATTGGATACCAATCATACTGTAACTAACTCCTAAATCTATAAACTTCAATTGCAAACCTTTGATGTTATTTTTCATTAAATTTTAAAATAATTCCTTCATGAAAATGAATAGAATTATCAGTGAGTATTTTAAGCAACCTTTGCTTCCAAACATCTGGCATTTGGGGGAGCTTACAGTATACCTGGATGGAGAGCTTTGTATTTAAAATAAATAAAAGTTAAGAGGTCAGCATTTTGTACCCAAAAAAAAAATATAGTATTATAATATATTTCACTCATTTCTTTGTCATTTATCATTAAACACATTAAAACTTGTTTAAAATTTAAAATACAGTACCGTTCATAAATGCTGCACGTTTTAGACGCATCTGACGCATCCTGAATTCGTCCACGATGCGTCCTGAATACGTCCGAAATCTGGACGCGTCTAACGCTAATAACGGTTCAGACAAACTGTTTATTTGACGCAGGCTTGTCAAATTAACAATTAATTAACAAGTCATTGTCAACGCAGACCAAACTAAAAACAAGTAAGGAAGTGGTAATCAAACGAAACAGACACTCAACAATATTCTACACTACTATGGGAACCTCTGTATCAGGCAACAGCCAAAATTCCCGTTGCCAATGGTGACTGTCTCAGTTTAACAAACCTGTTATCTTTTAGGTAATAATAGCACAACCGCGCCTCTGATAAGAAACCGGGTCGCTTGAAACTTGAGTCTCTTGTCGGTGATTTCCTCTGCAAATCCTCCTAATTAATGTACTTGTCAATTGTAGTCCCGGCCCCCCAGAAGCCGGGTCATAGCGGGGCACTAGCCGGGACTGAGCCGGGTAGTACCGGTACGTACCTAAAATTGGCTTCGAAAAGGACCAAGTTTTCGATGTGACGTGAGCGTAAAAAAATTGTGAACCGTGTATTTGATCGACCTAGTTTGCGTCGAAAAAAAAAAAAAAGAGCTGAGGCAGGAAAATCTGTTTCTACTGCTACTGTATTAATTTTCTTGTTTAATTTCTGTTTTGATACTGAATAAATTCATTCAATCAGTTAAATCAATATATCAATACACATCTAGATGTGTATAATGGCCAAGCAATACACTCCCCTCTTCACACTTTTCCAAACTTCCATGGGAATCTGCCTAGTGATACGCATGCGTAGTGCTTCCATGCTTATCTCCTCCTTGGTTAGCTCCTGCCTTAGCGCTCACGTGTTCTCCGATTTCAGACATAGACGAGACCTAGACCTTCATTTAGCGGGGCATTTTAACGGTAGGATTTTGCCGGGGATGTACGTTAAAACGATTCCCCGCATTGCCGTGAGGAGAGGGAGAGGAGGAGGGAGGGAGAGGGGAAGAGAAAGCGAGACAACAATTGATAAGTGCATAAATAGTGCGACAACCGCGCTTTCCGCCGTGATTATAATGAGTCGATTGTCGACAAATGATACCGTGATTTAAAATAGCCAATCGTTCGTGATACCCGACCTAGCGTATTCCTTGTGTGGTGAATGCTGTCAGAGGACACAGAAAGGCTGGTTAAATTTGGTTCATAGTAAATAAAACATCATTCCCTTCGAAGAGATGCATTAAATTTAGGATTTATTGTACTAACAGACAGAGAAGACCATTTATTCACAACCCAATTCACATGTACATTGCTGATTTTAATAGATACACTAAACTCTTGTCAATAATTTTATATTATCTATTATTTATGTCCGTCGATTATTTTGTCTATACTAGTAATTTTTTACTCATTTTGTATCAGGAGACGAATTTTACTTTTTCGTTACAATGTGACAATAAAAGAATCTTGTACTATTGCTTTACTTTTCTTTTGTTTTCTACATCATTATGCACCGATCTGCTTTACATGCGCCCAATTAAAATCAATAACAACAATAGTGCACCGAATCTGACGATCAGTCACACCCTACTGTAGCCCGTTGTTCTGGTGACGCCCAACACTTTAATACTTCTTGTATACCATATACAGTACAGTAATGACAAAAACTAGTGAAGCACAGTGGTGGATCTGTAGGCCTATTGCGTATCTCGCAATTCTCATTATAGTTCAATCGAAAATTATATTTTATTACATAATCATGAATACAGTCATAATACACTACATTACTTCGATTATTTTATATGACTATTAATATTCACCAGAGACAGCTGTATTGGTATGCGCCTTATAAATCCATTGATTGATATTCTTAAAAATCTTTAATTAACAGCAACGAAAATTTAGGAACATAAAAAAATAGAGTAGGCCTAAGAGTACTGTCAATCACTTTAAATAGGCCTAATTGAGATATCATAAGCATTGGGACTTCAACATTAACATAACATTGCCGTAAATGATCAAGACATGAGTTTTGTCATGGAAGAATAATAATCTGAACATGTATTAATACCGATATATTGTTATAATTAAATACACACAATATAACAAATAATACCCGACATATATTTTCAACTGCTGAAATGACCAAACATTACAATTATTATAGGACTTGTTACTTTTTTCACAAATTTGCATCAACTCAAGAACTTCGATGAATCCAATCGATGTTCACCCATCGGACGGCCTGTCTGAATATGTTGTTTGGTGAACTATGAACTCGCCGTAGCACATGTTTTCATGAAAGCACGGCAGCAGCATGGATTCTTACTGCACTGACTGTCTCTGCATAAAAATACCTAATATTTTATACTAGGGCCTAGCCAGGGCCCAACTGTACATGGAGTATAATTTATCATAACATAATATACTGCAGTACCACTGTACTTTATTATAAATTGAGAATGTGAGAAAATGTGAGTACTTCTGTAATATTAAATAAATCGTCAACTGCCGAGCCAGAAATCGACTGCATCTGTATGCTAGGCTACCGTCATTTTTATTGTATTGATCGTCAGTCAGCGGAGGAAAATGACGTTTTCAAATGATGTATGACTCAAAAACAAAAGTAACTGACGGAATTATAGGTTTCCCTGTTACAACAACGACACATGTATGCATCCATTGTGTACTACAGGACTTGAATATGGATTGTTAATTTGACGTGATCAACATTGATAAACAATTTCGGGTAGACGCGAGTGCGTCTAAATAACAATGTTTAGACGGTGTAGGCCTTGAACGGACGCGTCATGGACGCAAACAGGACGGAAACTGGATGCGTCTGTTGCGTCTAAAAATTCGCATTTTTTATGGACGGTACTGTAGCTTGTAAATATGAGTAACATTAGCCTAAAACATTCAAAAAATATTCATTCAGTCTGGCTATGTAATCAATAAAAGCCCTCTGGGGCATTACATCGATCAGCCACAGCCGCATTAGTCTGTCACATCACCATACTAACGGTTGCAAATTGCAAAATCACCTCA